CTTGGATTCTCTTCTATTCTCTTCTGTTCTTCTATATAATAATAATCTGATGATATATACCAACTTTAAAGCTCTTGTTTTTCACCTTTTAACAATGATTCATCTTTTGAGAAGTTTGTGACATCATTCCAGTTGAACACTGAGTTAATTAGAGACCCCCAGAGACTGCAGGCATCTCTAATTATCCAGCCTAAATGACCAACAGCCATACCTTTGAAAGGCCTCCCATATCCAGGTAGAGACAGCTCACAAAGACGTTCCAACCAACCCAGACAAACATCCACAGCAGGTACTGAGAAACCAGTAGCACAGTGGAAATTATTTATCACACAAACACAAGAAATCAAGCCAAATTGATTAATAAACAAGTTAAACTCCTCACCACGATGATGTAGCGCGATTGGTACTGGACGGCCCCAAACAGGCCCAGGATGACCATGATGATGTGGAAGAAGTTGACCATGATGGGGGCCCACTGGTAGCCCAGGAAGTCAAACACCTGCCTCTCCACGGCGGTTATCTGTTGCATCAGAAGAGGCGGAGATAAGAGACAATGCAGACTTTAATAAAACTAAGTGTGGGGCTGCTATAGCCCGTCATCATCACTTTTATGTGTGTTGTCAGGGCAACAAGGCCACGGGGGATAAAACATGTAGGGGGTGCAGCGTGAAGTCCTCCGAGGTCGTTGAGGAAGGGGGGCAGGGTGGGAAACAGGGACGAGGGGAGAGAGTGGGGGACAAAGAGGGTGTAGTCCTTTATTGTGTTCATTGTAGGCAGGTAAACTCTGCAGCAGAAGGAATACGTTTCTAATAAATCGAAAAACTGTCTCCTCAGGAGCATTTTAATCAGATAAAACAAAGTCAAACCAAATTAAAAACTTGAATCTTCAACCTGGCTTTTAGATTTGAATTTTTTTTTATTCTTTTTTTTTTTTTTTAATCAAAATCTTTATCAATGATTGAAAAAAAAAAATGCCTTTCAACATCAAAAAAATATACTGCTATTCATATTAAATCATACCTGTTGTTTCTACCTTTAATCTGATTTTAATGTTTTCAGTTTAATTTATTTGGTAATATAAGTTTATTATGTCTGCTCTATACTTAATCTTAACTCAAATGGATCCTTTATCTATTTTTTTCCGTCCTTGTTTCTAATCTCTGAAAGAACTTAGTTGATTGTGTGAAACAAAGGCCTTAGAAAAAACATGACAGATTCATTTCTTTTTGTTAAAAACAGCATTTAAATTTATTCCAACGCTTTTTACAAACCAGTAAATATTTTAGGCTCAAACGATTGACAAACAAACACATTTTACCTTAATTCTTCATATTCATACAGTGTCTATAACTAATGCATGAAACTATAGAGAACATTTAAAAATCATTTAAACATAAAATTTTTAATTAGCATCTAATTATTTATATGTAATCTAACAGCGTTTGTAAGAGTCTAAGCTAAATATATTTTTGCACATAATAAACAAATTCCAATAGGAGGTTAAGTTGTTTTTGTTTAACATTGTCTTGAAGCTGTAACCTTTTGTTAAACAGTTAAGAGTTGAAAATATGATAAGCAAAAGGTGCAACAGGTTTAATATTAGATAGGAATGTATCAGGTTTTAAATATTTGATTAGATAAAATAAACATTCTTGTGTTGAATTTTTTTTTTCTCTGTATTTTCAACCTTTTTTAGAAAGTAAACAGCTGGTTTGATCTATTTATATTGGAGAATAAGAAATGAAAATAACTTACCAACTGCACACAGCACAGCAGGGCCAGCATGCATCTTCCAGAGCAGCACCCCATCTTTCTCTGCTCTAATCAGTTGGATGGTGACAGTGATAACAATAGCAGATTTCCAGTTCTTCTCAGGCAGAAGCAACAACACATTGGCTTGGTAAATCCATGACCAGACATATGAGTGAAGCACACAGTGCAGTTTAACCTCTGGAGGAAAACACAGGAGGCTGTCCCTGCATGAGAACTATGGAGAAGGGGGAGGGGAATCAGATGTATGAGGGCTGATTCATGCCACGGCGAGGAAGAAAATTGGACTAATATCAACCTCAGGTTGTTAGAAGGGAGAAATATACTTGAAATATGTTTAAAACCTAAACATTTTTAATTACCATCTATCAAGTTAAGATAATTAACAGGGTTAATGCTTCGAAAAAGTATTTCCACCCCTTCACAGCTCAATCTCAGATACATAAAGTGGATCATTTATGGTGATAAGTCAACCTTAATTTTGAAGTTAAAGAAAAAGAATGCAAATTTTATAAATAAAAACTGAAAAGTGTGGCCTGTCTTTGCATTTAGTCCTTCTGAAGGAACATTTTGGTATATCAGCTTTTCCTGCAGCTACAGCTGTAGGGATTTTGACCTCTGTCTCTGTCAGCCTTTTGCTTTGAGACCGAAATTTTGGCAATTTCTTGCTTGCAGTTCCAGCTGAAGAGCATGTGTGAAGATACTATGGGTTTTTAAGTCATGCTACTAGATGCAGGTCCAGACTGTATGGTTTTAACACATAAACATCCTTTTTCTAAACCCTTTCACTCTTGCACTAGCTGTGTGTATGACATTTTTTTTTCCAAAAGTGCTGCTCCATCTATTTGCCCTTTAGTCTGTAGAGTGTCCCTATTCATGTGTACAAAAACAATCCCCAAAGCATGATGTTCCCACCATGGTGGGTTCAGGTTGATGTGCAGTGTTAGTTCAATGTTTCACATGCAGGTCTAAAAGTTTTTACTTTTTACTTCTTGTTTTGAGGTGTCCTTTCATCCACTGTTATAAGATTTTATCAATCCAAACCGCTTCTATAGATTTGGGCTGTGGTCTTACCCTAAAGGGCTAGTATAAGATTGTGACTTAAAAGTCCAAATTGGTCAATTAAAAGGATAAATTGATCATTGAAGAATAACAGCACCTTAGAAATAAACTGCTGAAATGAACATTTTCTGCAGGGTGACTCTGCATAGAGAAAATTTTTATTATCAACAGGATATTTTAGGTAGACTAGACAACTTTGCTGCATTAACCAGTCTCAGGAAACAACTCAAGGAATCTTTAGAAAAAATATGATTTACGGTAGGAAACAGAAAGCTTCCAATGCTACAATTAATGAACATAACTTGTTGGGTGATTTATTTTGAAGTAGATGTAAGCAGATCTATATGTATGCAGAGCACAAACTGTAGGTTAAGTACTTTCTTGGCAGGACAATGGATTCCAGACCTTCAAAAGACCTCTCCCTCATTATCTCTGTTTCCTTTGGAGGTGGCATGGATCAACCCTCATACAGCAACACGGTCCTCTGCTTCTGATAGGTGGCTGCTCATCTTCAGTGCTCTGAAGGCTCCAGCAGGTGGTGGCAGTGGTGGAGCGAAATAATTCAAAGGTGTTAAAAACTAAACTAAACCAAAGGAAAATAAACCTCAGGTCAAAAAGAAGCTGTTGAGTTTCTCTGGTTAAACAATGGGTGTGAGTAAAATAAAATAAAAAGGGGGGGGTGTTGTTCTATAACAGTTCATTTTAGCAGTTCAAAAACTCACTATATATTTTTCACATTCGCTTATCACTGAGGTTTACACAGAATTCAAAGAAAAAATACAGAAAATATCAAATTAAAGGCAATCCAAACAGAATATGAGTCCCCTTTGTCATGTATCAACAGAATAGATAGTGATGTAAAATGAGGCAGAGAATATTTTTTGCCTCACTTTAGGCCCTGTAGTACCAGCAGATCAGTGTTAAATTATCACTAAGCTGAGCATGTTTATTCCTCCTGATAGCTACCTCCAATTGGATCATACTAAAGCTCAGATCATCTGAAAATAATTTCTTTAACAAAAAGTTCCCTGCAATTGAGTAGGCGCTGCAGTCTATAAAATTTAAACCAACAGAACACTTGTGCATATGGTAACGGGAGATTTCATTTATGCACATTGAGCTGATTGATATTTAGCAACTCTATGATGCTGTCACGCAAATAAGACATCACATCTGCCACCAAGAATAAAGGTGATTCTTTGGTCTTTAGCTTTAGCCTCTGGAGCCCTTACCTATCAACAAGGTTTATTCTACATGAAGAATAAAAGGAGAGTTATGTTCTTGAGCTAAGCTTTTAACTGAGCTATCTCTACAGTTATGCTGCTATAGGCTTAGACTTCTGGAAGAAATAGGGACCCCTATTTCATCATTTTGCTTCATACTATCTCTATTCTTCCACTCTGCATTTTGTTAGTTTGATCTCTAACATTATGCTCTCTCTGCTTTTTCTCATAGTAGCTTCATCTGGTCTGTTCCTGGTTGGCTGTGACACCATCCTGGAGAGAAATATGAGCTGTGCTGCTGCCATCAACACCTTTGTTTATAGATGTTGGAGATCGGCCTGTTTTCCAGTGTAGTCCTGTTTCTCTGACTGTGACTGCCTGGATGTGCTCTCTTCATCCTCTGACATGGGACTTGGCTCGAAGCTCGTCTGCCTGGCTGTGTGTTTCCTGGACGCGGCCGCTTTTTACAGTTGCTTTTTGTATCCCTGCTTCTGTCTCCTTGAACCCCAGTCGGCCTCAGCAGATGGCCGCTCACACTGAGCCTGGTTCTGCTGGAGGTTTCTTCCTGTTAAAAGGGAGTTTTTCCTCTCCACTGTCGCTACAAGCATGCTTAGTGTGAGTGATTCCAGAAGAGTCAATGAGGGATGCAATAAACTGGTTTTCCTTAGATAGAAAACTTTGTATCAATTTGACTGGATGATCTGATTGAACTGTAAAGTGCCTTGAGATGACGTGTGTTGTGAATTTTGCATGATATAAATAAACTGAATTTTCCCTCCATCCATCCATTTTCTGAACTGTTTATAATATCTTAATATAGACTCCTTCTAAACTTTTAAAATTGAGTCAACCGTTGGTCCTCTAATTGCACTTCCATAAATTTCCGTGGGGTGGCGCTGGAAACGAAAAGGCAGGTTAATAATTTGGGGTCTCCAGCTCTGCCTGTGTCACATGGAAGCAAGGCAGCTGAGCTGAGGGGATGTGAGCAGAGATGGAGGGGGCTTAAGGGACCGAGGCAGCCGCAGATCATTTTGGAGACGCATCAGGATCTTTATTTTTATCATCATCAGCAGCCGGATAAAGAAAAAAAGGGGCAGGTTGAGCTCTTCCCAGCCTCTCCTCTTGGCTGGGGGTGCGCGGACAGGGCGCATGAAGGATGCCACATGAACTATGCTGCATCCTCATCCTACAGTGAAGAAGCCCAGCTGTTGGTTTTGCTGTGATTATGTTCGCATGGAGCTTTTGGTCTGATGGGAAGCAGAAACTGAAGGAAGCGACAGGAGCCGATGCTGCGCCTCCCCAGACCTCTGAGCTGAGTGAGTACAGGGGGGCTGCTATAGCGCAAAGCTGAGTGTGACAGGCTGGAGGGAGGCAGAGAGGAGGAGGAGGAGGAGGAAGAGGAGGAGGGGGTCATTCATGTACATATAGATTCAGCTCGATAAGCATCTTTTATTCTTCTAGGAAACGCAAGCTGTGTCTCTTTGTGCTGCTTTGTGTTTTCTCCATCTGCTCAAACATCCAACACAAACGCACGTGCGCAGTCCCCTCAGCATCACCGCATCGCCTTTATTTTGGGATTTAATCCGCATTCATCGGATAATAATAACTCCATTGTGTTTTGATGAGAAGGGGACAATTAGGGCACTTTTTTATGTGTGAATTTGATATAAATAATAATAATAATAATAATAAAAAAAACACATTAACCTTCACTTTAAAAAAATGTCCCCTCACGCCTCCCTCACCCCCATCGCGGCTGATTAATTGGGGGTGTGGAGAGGATCTGGCTTTGTCGCGTTACTTAGCAGCTGACCTCGGGGACACAGCATCCCATCCTCACTTTGATCTGGAAATGAATCGGAAACGCTTTGATGATTAGGAGGAGGCAATGAAAGGACCTGGGCTGCAGGCTCCAGAAAGCAAATCCCTGAAAATAAGCACTGCATCAGAGTCTGTGTCTTTCTACGTTTTTTTATTGTAACGCCTAAAGCACCCAGAGAGCAGGAAGACCCCCCCGCCCCCCCAGTGTCAGTCGGCATCAGAGGAGTCGTGGTTTGTAACCTGTTGTCAGCAGCATTGCTGCAGCTTGAGCCCAGAGGCGCGGCGAGCCGCGGCCAGCCAGCAGTCTGAGTGTGATTGATGCGTGCTGAGCTGTTACCATCATGAGCCAGCCTCCCTGGACACGCACACACACAGAAGCCCTTCATGCATGAATATCTTTATTTTAGCAAATGAAAAAAAAAAAAAAAAGGAACTCTGTAAAACCATGGTGCTGAGCAGGGGCGTTGGTAGAGCAAAGAGGACAGTGGAAGCACAAGTTTGGATTAATTAGTGCATTTCTGCAACAAATCAGCTAAATACCACAACAATCAATCAGTGATGTTGGTGAAAATGATTTAACATAACTAGAAAAAAATGCCTTGTTGATGTCAAAGGTCAGGGGATATTAGGAGGACTATTTCCGTTTCTTAGAACAGGGCAGAATAGCAGCTCTGAAAGGACATGCTGAACCTTGAAGCAGATTGGCCACTATAGTAGGAGACACCAGGATTCACTACTGTCAGCTCAAAGCAGGAAAATGAGGCTCATCAGCAAATTATATTAACAGATTGAAAAATCATTTTCTGGTTGGATGCAGGGACACTTTTAGAAAATGTAAAGGGGTGACCAGGCAGGGGCCAATTTGCGCTGAGAGGTGACTGGGAACTGCTAGGTGCCTGCAGTTCAGGGTGAATCTATACTGATCACAATGAAGCAACAGGAAAATTAATGAAGCAGCTATATTTTCCAAATCACCGGATTTTCAAGAGACAATAGCTACTAAAGCAATGCACATATAATGCTGGATAAATCCCTTTATCTTTCTACAATATTTTTATATTTAAATGGGTTGAGCAGGTGTTCTTTATCTTTAACTACCTGGAAGACTCCTAGATGTATGCAGGGAAAACATATACCCCAAAAATCATAAAAACATATTCTTAGTTCTCTTTAATTGTATCATATTGTTACGAAAAAGTAAATGCTGTATTTTCATAATTAAGTTTTAAATGTCATAGTAGGACATTCCATGTGGTATCACTTCCGCCACCCTCTGATTTAGAAGAGAACTGCTTGTTCCAGAGGTGGTGAATTACATCCCAGTGGGAACAACAAATCACCTGTGTGGCCATTGAATGGGTAGGGGGTGGCTTTAGCATCCCCCACCCCCCTGATCTGCCCCACGGTTGGATCAGACATAGATCCATTCTGTTTTGGATCAGGCTGTTGGTCGTTAAATACTGTGGGTATATATCAGCACCACTCTTTGGGCTCATTAGTACCAGCCAAAAGCCAGATCTATAGGTGATGACCATGCAGATTAATTGCACCATGTTATAAAGCTTATATAATCTCAAACTGGTTTCTTGGAAGATGAAAATAATGCAACAGTAGTCTGAGGGGCTCCAGATATTAATCCAATGAAAAAAGCAAGTCAAGCTGTTTGCATGTTCCCACTGGTATTTAGGGATTTATTTGCTGATCTCTGAGGTTGGAAGGCCATCTTCTTAGAACCCTAATCTTTAGCTCCCTCAGGTCCTTTGGTTTATCTGTTTCTTGGATTGCACTCTTCTGGAAACAGGTCTCACAGGTTGCCCTTACAATCTGCTGTAGTCACTCCTCCAGTTTCAGGATCAATTGATGACAACTTCCATCACCGAGGCTAAACCCACAGCGGTGGGTAGTTACTAGTTACATTTGCTTGAATAAAATCTTGAAAAAAGTGTATTTTTAGGAGAACTTTACTTCTTACTTTTACATTAGCAGAGATGGGAAGTAACGAAGTACAAATACTTCGTTACTGTACTCAAGTAGATTTTTCTGATATTTTTACTTTACTTTACTACCGGTACTTATTTTTATGGAGACTTTTTACTTCTACTCCTTACATTTTTACACAAATATCTGTACTTTCTACTCCTTACATTTTAAAAAATTGTCTCGTTACTTTAGTTTTGAATCATTTCAATGGAGTTACCGTTATTATTTTTCACGTCATCAATACCAAATTCAATCTAATTGGATGGGAATCTACGTTGCATTTGACGCACCACTACAAGATGAATCGACAGATTCGGCGGTATTCATTCGCGGCAAATCATTGCAGCTTGGTGGCGGTGGCGTTAGCATAGTAGCATGGACGACGAGATGATTGAAAATGAACACAACGGAGATCTAGTCCTATTGGCAGACATCCATTTAAAATGTAGGCAACGGCATGAAAAAAGTGGTTTCTACTTTTACTTTTATACTTTAAGTAAATTTCCAAGCCTGTACTTTGTTACTTTTACTTGAGTAAAGAAGTTTAATCAGTACTTCCACTTTTACCAGAGTATTTTTTAACACAAGTATCTGTACTTTTACTCAAGTACGGAAAGTGAGTACTTTTGCCATCTCTGTACATTAGTAATATATTCGAGAAACATCGCTACTCCGTCTTCGAACATCAGGTGAATATACGGTAAAGAGTCAATGTTGCCCCTAGAAGTTTGTTATCATCATCTGCTCAAGTATTTCATTTTTTAAATCTTTCTTTATTGTATTTTTCATTTATTTCAATCACTAAAATACCAGAATGTGTGCATAATCCCTGCTTGCTTTATTTTTAATCATTAAATCAGATATATCACCCAGTATTCAACTCGTCTGAGTAATTTTACTTTTTTACTAAAATAAGAAACTGTTGAATCAGTGCTACTCTTACTTTAGTACAACTTTTGGGCACTTTACCCACCTCTTCTCAACCAGTGTATTCTCATCATGAGTTCGTATGAAATCGTACGAAAAGTTATGCACCGTAATTTCGTACGTTTTTGACGTTTTTTTCGTTGTATTTCGTCGTATTTTTACGTCTTGCCTCGAGACAAGATATCCTTGCGCATGCGCATCTTACGCACCATTCAATAACATAGAATTTAACATACAATTAACCCTAAACCTGACCCTAACCCTAAGATGCAAAACAGCAAGCAACGTAGTTGGAGACATGAAGAAGTGATTATTGCACTGTTTTTCCCAGTTTTACGTCCGTCCGCGGATCTGCTTTTTTCGTCTGTCTGCCTGCGCATGCGTACTGATCTGTTTTCCCGAGGAAAAACGTCAAAAACGTACGAAATACTGTGCATAACTTTTCGTAAGATTTCATACAAACTGATGAGAATATGTTGTCTCAACACAACATCTTTTTTTCCTCTTTGTGCATGTAGTATTTCTGAGCTTCTGTGTCTCTTCTTGATGTTGCTATCACTTGAAAACACAGCTCCCCTATATCCACCACTTTGATGTCCAGTTTTTTGGTCTGGAAATATACTGAAGGAAAATTCTCAACCACTCTTGGTGATGTTTTCACACTTTGCTTCTGGGACATTCAGCCAGTGCACAGGTGTGTTTATGCTGTCCTAGGGTTTAGACTTAGGGACATCTGTCCATAGCTTGCATTTTTTGTCCTCTTTGAAACAGTAGACCTCAGCCTCTACTGCTCTTGTACCAGGAGCCCTTTCCTCTGTGGCTGCACTATCCACCTACCCACCTTCTCTGGGTATTGATAGGACTTTGTGACTAGTACACACCCTACCGATGCTTGTCCTGGTCTTTTTCTTACATTCTGGGTTCCTCCTGGCAGAGACAGTCATTTTGCAGCTTATGACTTGAGCTCATATTGGAGATGTATTGCTAAATCTTTGCCGTTTCTTTCCAAGTAGGGCTTTGGTACTCTCTGGACCTTGGCTTTCTTCCCTCTGCGTGGTATAGCTGGCCGGATGCCTCTGTGCATTGTGAGGGGCGTCCTTGTCCTAATCGATGCATAATTCACCAGTTAGGATTGTCCTTCTAAAACAAGCAGGACAGCTGCTATTAAAGGTATACTATGCAACCGGTGTTGATTTTCCAGCGAGGCTCCCCCCAGAGGGCGAAAGTAAAAGTGCATTGTCGTAAATATGCACAGCTGTTCTCCTGGTTTCTCCGTCAAGCCAGGCGCGGTTGTTTTGAGCTTAGCAGACAGGCGAACGCAACGAATCACCATGTGTACTGCGGTAAGTGACTATTTTGTTCCAATTTTCGAGTTTGAAAATTTCGCTGTTTTCTCGCTGGTTCCGCCATGATAACTGCACAAATATCGCCACTGCGCTAGCAACGAGCATGCCTTTCACTGGGCGCGTCTAGCAGTTCTCGCCGTAAAGCAAGACCAACTCTCGCGATGCACGAGACTTCTGAGCATGTGGGTGCGGCCCAAGGGCTCCTGCAATTGCAAGTACGGTATTTCCCCTACAGACCACCA